GTAGAAGCAATTGTTCTCCTCTACTCAAAGAATGATTATCTCTTAGTAGCAGGTGGAGTGATCCATTCTTCTGTACTCTTAGAGGAGACTTTATTATTTGTGGGAGATAGAGTATGAGGAGAAGAGAGCTCCAGCAATGTGTCAGGTATTACACATTATGGACTAGTATAAAAAAAAGGAACCTCTTCCCTCACTGCAATTTCAAAGCCTGGAAGTAACACCCCACATCTAAGGCTCTTAGAAATCACATTATTCATACCAAGAACCATGATTCACATGAAGAGAACAAAATGGAATTATCAAAAAATAGATTCTGTAGATCAAGCTGTAGCAAAAATATCTCCTGACTTAGCTTATAAATTGCCTATATAAAAGATTTAAAAAGTTGGCTATAATCACAGGAAGGACCATTCCTTCTCTTCCTCCTTGACTAAATAAACTTTATACTTCTCCCATGCCACATCCTTGTAGGTCAAGGTATTTGGAAAATGGCTTTTGCCATGAGGTCTCCCCCTCTTTTTTTTCCCTTCTAGTCCTTTAAAAAATGAAAGTTGCTTAAATATACCTTGTCTTAGTCGTGCTCATTTAATTGGTCACCTTGAATTATTGAGCATTTGTCATTTTTATGCTTCGTATATCGACCCACTTATTTTTAGTATCAATGATTATAATAACCTGCATAGTGGGTTAGAAGGGTTTCACATTTGATGGAATTTGAATTCTTGCCAAAGCTATTATTTGTTTCCAATATGAGCAATATGATTTCAGCACTTTTACCTAGACAGTTTTTCTCCTTTTATTGATTTACTGCCTCTCCAAGAGCAATACTTTTTTTAGGGAGTAGTAAATAGAAAAAGGCAATTCCAGTTTGATAACTATTACTGAATTATACACACACACACACACACAGTATTGAGTGCCTAATGTTCAAGGAACTGTGCGAGGTGGGGTTTTTTTTCTTCTAATGGTTTATTGATTTTTAAAGAGAGATGAAGGGAAAGGAAGAAAGAAAGAACATCAGTGTGAGAGCACCACATGGATAGGCTGCCTCCTGCACGCAGCAGCCTCCTGGTGCATGGGACTACCCAACCAACTGAGCCACACCAGCCAGGCATGTGCAAAGCATTTTAAGGGATTGAAAGATGAGACCGTCATATGCTTTCCGCTGCAAGTAACAATGAGAGACATATTATGAAGATATTACTAAATATAAAGACTTTTCTATTTTGCTAAAGAGAAATCCAGAGTAAGGCTAATTCTAGGGATGGCAGTAAGGCTCACTGATGCCTTTTAGCTTTCTACTTAGCCATCTTCAATGGGTTGGCTTTTTTCTTCAGGATTACATATTAATATTCACAAGATGTCTGAGCTCTAGATATATTCTTATATAAACATATCCAATGGCAGATAAATGGGAGTTTTTCCTCATCTATCTTTTTTCATTGGGGAATAAAATTTATCTTAGAAGTCTCTGGGATATTTCTTTCATCTGCCACTAGCTCACATAAAGTTAGGTGCCTATGTCTTCACTAAAGGGAACCTGGGAAAATATCTGTCTTTTTAAATACATATTGTGGAAGTGTGTGTGTGTGTTGTTGTTGTTGATAGTGTCTGACACAAGGAATATGATAAAATCTCAGTCCTCTTTCAAGAAGCTTTGTATCGCCTGTCTGGTGCTCAGTGGTTGAGCATTGACCTGTGGATGTCACGGTTCAATTCCGGGTTAGGGCATATGCCTGGGTTTCAGGCTTGATCCCCAGTGTGGGGTGTGCTGCAGGAGGCTGCTGATGAATGATTCTCTCTCATCATTGATGTTTCTATCTCTCTCTCCCTCTCCCTGCCTCTCTGAAATCAATAAAAAAATATTTTTTAAAAATGAAGCTTTGTTATCTCTCAGGGTGGAAAGAAAAGCTGTAATTATATTACAACTAGAGGCTGGGTGCACAAAATTGGTGCATGGGTAGGATCTCTAGCCCTGGCCGG